AATGAGTGAGCAGTGAGATTGCAGGCATGAACCAACCCCCAGCTCAATATTATCATAAGAGAGACTAAATATATTATAAATACCAGTGCCAGTATACATGATGACTAATTTATTTTTCTTATGAGTTTTTTAAGTTATATAGCATGATGAATTGAATTGGGTAAGCCTGCAATCAAACTTTGGAATGAATACAATGTCAGCATTAAGGAATGCTAAAGAGAAAGTAATTTTAGACATAGAAAGTTCTGTTAAGTGAAAACAGGGTTAAGTCAGAAAGATAATAGAGCAGTTCTTCTATCCATCTATTGTTCTATCTGCCCTGTCTGCAGTGCCTGACAGTGAACACGCTGCTGGCAACGAGAGACCAGCCATGGAGATGTTTGTGTTCCCTGTCCTCTCCAGATGTTTCTGTAATTTACATGCTATTCTTGAAAATGATAAAAATATTACTTAGCACAATTCAAATAGAGCCCAGAGTCCCCTAGACTGTTTGGAGAAAGATCACGAAGATCTCAGATCTTCAATACTCTGCTTCCAGAAGGTCAAACTCATGATCTTAACGTATTTTTGAGGCACCTCCACATCAACCTGAGAGCGAGACAGGTCACGCCGGGCCTGTGGGGCTCGGGAGCTCTCGCGCCATGCCAGGCTGTCCTCTCACAGATCGGCCCCAGTGGTGTTGTGGCGGGCACGTCTGACAGGAACCACCCGGCAGCCACCCAGGCTGGGAAGGCGAGTGCCCTCGACGACGATTCCCCTCCGGCCGCTGCTTTCCATGGACGGATAGAGCTCCGTGACGCCCTGGGCCGTCCTCCAGGCCGCGATGGAGGTCAGCATAAGCTCCCACTCTTCACTGCCTTCCAGACAGGAAGGGCTGACCACTTCGTGCTTCACATACACTCGTAGAGAGGAACGCTTTTTTTATGCCTCTGTGTGTTCATACCTGGCAACGAGGGAGCTAGCCTTGGCTGGGCCACTCCAGACTCCACCCCGAACCTCACGAACAGGAAGGCCGCCGCTCCCCAGCAGGTGAGCACGGCACGCGCCATGGGCGCGGGCAGGTGGCGACCCTCACCTCCATGCCCTGCGGGGGACCCTGGGGCCAAGGCGCTCACCTTACTGGCCTGGGTTTCTGCATTTTACAAACAGGAATGAGAATCCTCCCGTGCGCAGGGTTTTCTGCGAGCTCAGTAAGTTGGAGACACACAATTTCTATGATATTTTACATGCACAGGAGTGTACAGAACAGAGTGAAACTCAGGAGGTCAGACTCAGGGTCTTCCATGCCATTTTAACAAAGGAAAGGGCTTTGGAGTGGAGGTGATGACCCTGGGGAAGTGAGCAGGACACTCGGGACACGGAGTCACTGTAGTCAGGTGTGCAGGCAGACTCCTGGAGGTGCTGACTCTCCACCTCTGGGGGCAAGTCTCTCTCTTCTTCCTGGTACAGAGGAAAGAGACAACTTCACAAGGAAGGTGCGTGTCCTTCGCTGTAGGCAGAAAGGGAGGGAAGAGCTACGCCGGACGACTCCAACTAATCCCATACCAAGTGGCATGTTTGGGTGTGGCATATGCTGGTCCCAGGTAAACACACACAAGCCCCAGTTGCCCACTGATGCGAGAAGAATAAAACTATGTGCCCTAAACCTGGACAAACCCATCGCCTGGAACCAGGGCCTGAGTCCCCTACCCACAGGCGCCTGGGCGAGACTTTGTGGTTGCTTGTTACTCAGTATTATTGGAACAATAGTTTATTCATCTGTCAAATGGGGAAAACATGTATTAATGTCGTCACTTGCAGTGGTTTCACGAGGATTAATACACGTATAAGCCTAATGTCTCAGGATGCAACATGCTGAGGACACAGCAGTGGTCACACTGCTAGTGCCACCTGACTTGCAGTGGCCCCTATTCTCATGAGGAAACTCCCTTCCCAGA